CCGCATTACTGTAGTGATAAGGGAATGAATACGTTTGCCATGTATTTTCTCAACAATTTAAACCACTATTTCAATAGGCTGGTTTTATGCACCTTATGGGAACTTTAGTATTTCCAGTTTTTATTTTAGAGGCAAACACTTTGGCTTTCAGCTTAACATGTTTATTTATTTGGCAGACGCTTTTGTCCAAAGCGACTTACATTTTTTTTTAACCTATAGGGCATGTTTTGATCTGTGGGGGAAACCGGAGTACCCGGAGGAAACCCACGCATGCATGGGGAGAACACGCAACTCCACGCAGAAAGGCCGCAGCAGAGTTTCGAACCTGCAACCTTTGTGCTGCGAGGCAACAGTGCTAACAACTGCGCCACCATGCAGCCGCATGTTCTACGAGGTTGTCCTTTTATTGGCACAAATTACTGATTGAGATAGTGTTTTTGTGTATAGTAGAAACAACCGTCATTCACACAATGACACACTGATCAGCAAAATAAAACTATGTTGTAGGGTTTATAGTTTTCTTGGTATAATTACAAGCAGCTCCAAACCTGAGTAGTCATGGAATAACATTTTTTAAACATAGAAAAAAAATTATGTACATTTTTCTCAAATTTCTTTTGTAAACAAGCAGTCTTCTTTTCAATCCCTTTGATAACTAACATGCAAGTCAAATGCACAGTATTTATGTCTGAAAAGAAACCAAGACAATAAAGTAATTTAGGAAATGATTTTGCATCCATCAACAGTATTAAACGAAATGCCAGCAAACAAGCCATTTCCAGCTGGTCATCCGACTCCTTCTACACGATCACACATGATTCAATTAAATAAAGAAAAAGAAGAAAGTGCATCTTCCACGTTTTTATAGAACTTGTAATACTATTTTCTCATATGAAAGTCTTACATATTGGGAAGGAACTTTTCCCGATGAAGGAGATGCACTCAACTTATGTCACACACATCCGTCTTTCCACATTCTTTGACCCATTCGAGGAAAAAGAATAATTGAGCAGCAATTTGACACCAACAAAGTCAAAAGACAGTCTGGAAGCTTAACTCGTCTCAAAATCAAGACCTTCTACAATACTTTTGATTGCAGAACGTTTCTCCGATCAGTAAAGGGTTTATAATCACAAAATAGTTATTTTTCCTAGGGCACTTGACAAGAAGGTCAGCATAGTCTAAAGTCTGAGTTGTAGTTTGCTTCCATGTGCTGGCCACGACTATAGAATAGTGTTTTTAGTGTCTCTGTTCTCCCACTTCGTGTGGCGATTCACTAGGAGGGGGGAACTGCTGAGCGGTCCGCAGTCCACCTGGGTATGACAAGGAGGAAAAGGATGGGAGGGAAGTTAGACAAAGAGCTGTGAGCCAGACGAGACACACTGGTACAGGAGAAGATCAAAGAAAAGGAACAGGGAAAGAAAAGGATTAAGTACCTGCAGCAACAGCACCACCTTTGGAGATTTTGTTCACTTTGGAGCAAGAGCTTGAAGAAGAGGATGATGGGTGGTGGTTGTGACTGGTCTCATGGTACATTCTCTTACGGGAAGAGGATGAAGTCAAAGGGTTTGATGGTTGACCAAGTCCCTCCATGCCGACCAGTCCCGGAGGACCACGTAGTAGACCCACGCCACCCCCTGGGGCCTCTGTGCCTCCTCGACCATTGCCACTGTGTGTGGTGGGGTGGCTGTGCTTGTGGGAGCGATGGAGGTTGTGATCTGCTCCACGATGTTGCTTTTCTTTGGTCACCAGAGGGCTGGAATGCTTATTCTTGCTGCTGTTGGCAGACATGCCTTCATCTGACGAGCTGTGGCGTTCCGATAAAGACATTTTTATCTTCATCTTGAGCTCATCTTTGCTTGGTTGTCCACTTTTTTCTGTCAGAGAACTGCCACTGGAGCCAGGAACCGCCAGGCGAACTTTAAACGAGCCTTTGTCTCGTTTCTCACCGTAGTGGCGCCTATCATGACCAGAGGCTGAGGAGGAAGAGGCTTTGATTTTCATTGGGGAGGCAGCGATGTTACCACCATAGGTTAGATGAGGCTGTGCATGCTTTCTGTGATCTACTTGGGTAATGTTGGATGGTGCGTTAGGAGAAACCAAGTCCACTTTCATGTCACAGTCCATTACACCCCCAAGATGCTCCAGCCGTTGCTTCTGGACAGGGACAGTCAGCTCTGCAGAATGTTTTTCTCTGTATTTATCCAGAGACAGCTTCTGGACTGAAGGTTGTGGATGAAGAGGCAGAGCCGATGGAAGATAAGGAGACTGAAATGCTAGGTTCTGCTTGCCCAATCCACTTTCACCAGCTCCTTTTGGTTCCTGTTTGACAAGGTTTAAATCTATAGTTTTTTCAGTTTTAAAAGGCGGGGGGTGCTGAAGCAAAGACAAAGTGGAAGTTTGTAAAGACAGCATAGGCTCTTGGATAGGAATGCTGAGGGGTTCCTCTTTCACACAGGTGGAAGGGTATCCAGTCTGGCACTGGTCCCCCTGGGGCCATTCGTTGTGGCTAGCTGGATTGTATGAGGCAGCCATGCTGTCCAGAGACAAGGGGGCTCCTCTGGAATGTCCAGGCATGGGCACAGGGAAAGCCGCGACTGCTTTAGAAAAGCTCGAATTGGATGAGGGAGCCCCAGGAAGCAAGACATCACTGTGGTCCTGAAGCATCGATGGCCCAGGGAATGAGTTGTCCCCCTGCTGCATGTTCTCGAGCTTGGGCTTTTTGGCAGCTTGTGTTGCCTAGACAACAGATTTAAAAGATTGTGATTAAGTTCATATTCTTAAAATTTGTGCTACAGTGAGCTATTTAAAAAAAATTGCAGCATGAAATCCACTAAATACTAGGGCTGGGGGTAAACGATTATTTTTAAAACGATTATTCTGACGATTATTTTATCGAATAGTCGACTATTCTAATGACTATTTAGAAAATTAATCTAATGATTATTTTTCTATTGCACAATTAACAAAAACCAGAAAATCTCAATAAATTCCTCAAAAAAATTGATAAATTCTTATTGTAAGAGAATAAACACTACAGGCCTTCCATTTTGTATAACACTGCGTTTATTGTGTTGGTTGGTTATGTTCTGGTGACGTGTAGAACTTGGGAGTGCAGGCTGCTGCCTGAGAGGTGGTAGAAGATGGAGTGTCTCCATGCTGCTTTGTTTTGGTCACTTATGTGCGTGAGGCGAGTGGTCTTACGGGTTAAACCAAACTCAGGTGGTATTTTACACTAAACCGAAAACCCACAACACTCTAAATGTAATGAAAGGGAGATCTACACCACAAAAAAGATGAACTCTAAACCAAAACATACGTAACAGCTTATCCCAACGCAAGAAGCTGTTAGCGAAGATGCTAACAGTAGCTTTACCAACATTAAGTTCAAGTTACCAAGTTTAAATAAACCAAAAACACCCGGCAGCAAACAGACCAGCATGGAGGAGAGACTGCTACCACCAAAACAGCTCTCCTCGTGTCTGAAAGAAGCTCCTTAATGAAGGGAGAAGCGCTCCCGGTGATTTTCTGCATCTGCGATAGACACGAAGCAGCGCATCTGACCCCGGAAGTTGTTGTCCGTTGCCGGGAGACGAAGGGGCAAAACAGGAAAATAATCTAGTAGTGGACGGACGTTGTTCCGGGTCTTCGGTATTTGGCGGAGATGTTAGTGAAGGCGGAGAAGAGGGCGAACTAGAGGAAAAACAGGCAGATTCTTCCTCTATTTACAAACTCCTGGGGATGCAACAAGTGGGCGCGGTGCGTCGACTTCCGGATCTGACGTCGACAAATTTTTAGAATCGAGCCGTCGACTTCGTCGAGGCTTCGCTACAGCCCTACTAAATACATAGTATAAGTTAACTGATCCCATACAACAGGGATTTTAACAGCATGGTTTAAGTTTAAAAGTATGTACATAATGCATGAAGTCATAAAACACCATTAAGCTTAAAATGGCAAGCATCTTACCCTCCAGTTTCGTATCCTCTTCAACCTGCTAGGAGTCTTCTCCAAAATCTGCAGAAACTCGTTTGTCAGCTCTGCAAAACAAATGAGCATTCAGTCATTTAGAAAACCGTTCTAAGTGAAAGCCATGGACAAGATCTGAAATAATTAATGCTACCATCTCACCATCAAGCAGCTCGAGGGTTACAGAGCTGTCCACATACTCCCACCAATGCTTCCCATCAGTAGAAACTGGAATCTCCCAGTTGGACCACTTGCAGGCCAAATGAATGCATACACAGGCAATCACTGTGGGCTTGTATTGGAGGCAGAAGGTAGTGAGGTGTAGACTGTGGGATATACGAGGGCATGTGAAGAAATAATTCAGGCCAGGGAGGGGGGAGGGTCAATTCATCCCACATGTGGAGAAAAAACAAAAACAAAGAAGGGGCAGATTGTGTTAAACACTGCAGGCGTGGGGTCCTAATCAGTAACATTACTGACAACTGATTATGTAGACAATGAAAATGTTTAAATGTTAAACAGCATTTCATTTCACTTCTGATCTATGAAAATGTTGGTCTTAACTGGAGAACTCTGCTTGCTGATCATCTGAAACACTGAGATAACGTGTCGCTAGGTGAAACGAGTCAATAATTTCTGTAATTATCTGACAAAGATCTCTGACTTCACTTTGCTGGGTGTCATTTATTTATTTGTCAGGTATAACCAAAGTGAGCGACGCCTGAAGTTACACACATTCAAACCAAGTGTCTGCAAAGAGTTTGAACACAAAAGTAAACAAACACTTGGAGTCACTGGGAATACAGCATGATAACTATTTTAAAGACCAAGTCTCCGTTCCTTTCTGCAGAATGAAAGCAAGTACCTCTGGTGAAACAGCTTGTGTATTTACTGCACCAGAGGTTTTACTTATTGACTAGAGTTTAACTTCTAAAATCACACACATACTTTTAAATGTAAGCAACGTTAAACTTTGTATAAACTTAAGAGCATTCACTTACTCATCTACCAACTAAATCCTGCTACTTTCAACCAACTGTATCAGAACTTTAGATGTGGTTAGTGCCTTTCCTCTAGCAGATGGCAGTAATGAACAATGCTCAGCTATGCCAGTTCAGGGCTTTAAGTCCCATTAGTCATCCCACCCACACTGGTGAAACCCATCTCCGCATCTGACCCATCCCTGTGGGGAGCATCGAGCTGCGGCTGTGCTCGGGAACTATATGGTGGTTTAACTTCCAATCCAAACCCTTACAGCTGAGTGTCAAGCGGGGAGGCATTGGGTTCCATTTTTAAAGACTTTGGTATGACCCGACCGGGATTTGAACCCTGGTCTTCCAGTCCCAGGGTGGACACTACCACTAGGCCACTGAGAAAGTTTACTGCATAAAGAAACGTGCTAATGTTGGACTTGTCCGTTCTACACCCGAGCACAAGGCCATTTAGTTTCCCCACCATCTTATCAGGACCATTTAAACAATATAACTAACGCAGTGAGCGACCACAACTGGATATTTATCTCGTCATGGCGGCCATCAGAACAAGACATTTCTAATTAAAAAAGGATTTACAGGGTATCTGCAGGTTTAAGGGAGACAAATTTAAGACTTTTTAAGACCTTTTTTAAGGCCACTCTGACCAAATTTAAGCTATTTTTTAAATGTAATTTAAGCTATAATTTCCAGCTATTGCCTGGAACCGGTGCTAACCACGTCGCGAACGTGGGATTAGCCATCCAGTTACCATTTGACTTGCACTTCCCCATGGCACAAGCTCCCACTAGCTTAACCAGCTAATGTGCTCATCTAAAAATAGCCCCCATTCACAACCAACTGGATGTGTGCGGTTCCGATTTTGTCATTATCATTCACAAAAAATGCTGAACACTAACTAGAAATTCACGAAAATTTTATAGAAATGAAATAATTTTGTTTATTGGGTCTTTGGTAATTTAAGACCTTTGGGAACTGTACTGAAGGATTATTTGTCATTTTTAAGGATTTTTAAGGCCTTAAATATGGAAAAGCAAATTTAAGACTTTTTAAGGACCTGCAGATACCCTGTAGTAAACCATCAAAAGTATTTAACCTTCATGTGTACATTGCATTACTTGATCACTAATTGAATTGTTTTAACCGTAAATAGCTGCACTAGTCTTTAAATATTAAAAGGCTTCAGTTGTACTTGAAAAGCTCTTAAAAAGTTTAATCCTATTTTATGTTCACGTTTAGGCTTTCATCTCACTTGTAGTAGCTCTAAACAACTATTCAACATGGAGCGGCTAAAGTGGACCAATCCCAGCTAAAAGCATCAATGTAATGTTCCGAAGGCTTTTAAAATGAAGCATTATTAGCTTATTTCTTGATCTTCTAATAAAAGATGTAAGACTAAACAATAAATCTGCAATTAACAACAAGTTACAATTACAAAACTGTAATTTAAACAAAGTGACATGATAAAAAAACTTCAGAAATTAATCTGCAGTACTTACCAGAAAGACCTCTACGAGAAATGTTTACATCTGTGAAATCTTTAGCGGATATTCAGGCTACCAGTGTCTTTTAGAATTATGCACTTTTTCGCAACCGAACAAACGTGTGGTTTTCAAGCGCACCACTACACTTCACATTTTGCATTCAACCCATCTGTGCCAACACGTGCTCCCTTGTACAATACACCGCACTGCGACTGGGGCCGGTAACGCTACGAGCCACCCTTTTCCCGCTACCTCTGAGGAAGGGAGGGGAGCTGAGGGGAGGAGGCAAGCGTCCCAACAACCACCAGTGCATGTAGGGCCGGTTGGACACTGAAAGGGTACCCTGCATTACAGGAAGCTATGGTGTGCAGTCAAAGTGCAATAAAGGAGGGGCAGGATAACAACCTGTTGGTAGCCATGAAATAGGAAGTCTGTGCCAGATCCTTGCTTGCTGTGAAAAAGAAAAGCACAAAGACAAAAAAGGGGGAAATTAATATATTTTGCATTAATAAAGTAATTTAACTTAAGATTTACCATTCTTAAGTTAATTTCAATGAACCAAGCCAAGACCAAGACTGAGAAGATGACCTTTTTTTTTCTTTCTTAAAAATGAGCCATGGAGCAAATTTCAAACTAAAACTCCAGATTAATTTTATGGTAATGGTTTGCAAGAACTTTATGCAAAAATAAATCATAGCCAATAGATTTGGTCCATAAATAATACATTTTTGATTTTCCTGTAATGCAGTTTTTATTGTTTTAATCAAGAGTAACCTTTAGATTATTTGTAAATAACCAGTTTTACACACTGCTTTGTCATGTAAGATTTTGAGCTAATTTGGGGTCATTTTGGCTAAAGTAGCTTTTACAGTTAGCAGTATATTGATATGTTTCAGTAACTATAACATTTGTACAAGCCAATTTCCCAACCGTTTCCAATCTCACAAACGGAACCTTTCCAAAGCAGAATTGAGTATTTTTTCAGCCACGTGATTAAATAAAACAGGCCATTTTCTGACAAAGCATTTCTGGGTAATCCGTCTCAGTCTTGGCACCACTGGGCATTTTTTTAATGTTACATCATAAACCAAACTCAACAGAAAATCAAACGCTATTGCGGTCAGGTGACCATTAAATCAGCATTGTTTTCACCCTCATCCCCACCCCACATCTGAGGTGGGACAAACAAGAGCAAAGAAGGAAGCCTCTACCTCGCACTAGCTGGGTACATTTCACCACATCAGTGTGTGGGTGATCAATAGTAATTTCAAAGCCTGGAACAAAATACATAACAGGTGAGTTCAACACAAACAGTGGGGAGGTGACATGTTACTTTAAAATTGCAACAAACCAGAGAATCCCTCAACTTTTAGCTGGTTTTTTTTTTGGATTCAATGTGGTATTTAAAAAATGAATGAAGAAATTTGAATGCCAATTATTCAGTGTATGAGACTTGTTTGTTTTTGGCAGGCAAAAATGTCTCATTACAAAGTTTAATCAATATTTCAGTCCAAACGGTTCACCACTCTAGTCTCGTAAAGATTACATTAAAAAGCTAATAGTCATTACAAGAAAATAACATGTCACCTTTACATGTCTCAGTAAAATATGACATTGACAAGCCAACCACAGAGTAGATGATTAATAATTTTAAGGCTGTGATAAAACACATTTAATAACCAATGACACATGGTTTTATTTACCGCCATTAACCAGCAGTCATTTCTGTAAACAAAGCTCTCAAGTCATCCACTCCAGTCACCACTACTTACCCAGGGTCTGCAGCACTATGGATTCAAGTATCACCAGCTCTTGAGCTTGCTGGAGGTATGCCTGAAGTTTGATAGACAGTCATTACAAAACAATTGTAATGAGTCTATTAATCTAAACCCCTAACAAGTGCTTTAACACGGCCAGACATGGACTCTACGTATGGGTGGGTGTTAGGTACACACCAACTGCAAGCAAGTGCGGCGGAACGTGACACAGCCATTTTTACATAAATGAAACCGTAACCAGTAAGAAAAAAGAGGAAAAACACAACCTTAAGAGTTTTTAACCTCGAGAAACCCAAACTTACATTGCTTTTTGTGTCTAGAGGAGGTTCTTGTGAATTTAAACAAGCATGTGCAACTTTGATCACATGCTCAAGCTTACGGGGTTGCTCTTCAACCTTTGCAGCCAAAAACAAGGTGGTTGGAGATATTACCTGTAAAACAAAAACAAAACACACAATTAAGTTTAAAAACCAACTTGCAGTGGGTCAACATAATCGTCATATTTAAAATACTTACATTTCGATGGAATTTGGCGAAAGAATGCTGCATATAAAATCTATGCATATAAACAATAGATGTGTTTATTGTTAATTGCGAGCTGGAAGGTGGTCAAGGAAGTTTTTATTTAGCTGGGGCCTCATTTATCAAGCTTGCTTACGCACAAAACGGAGTCGGAAAACTGCGTAAGCAACTTTCCACGCAAACTTTGGGATTTATGAAAGAAAACTTAGCGGAAAAATGTGCGCAACTTTAAGTTGACTAAGGACTTGGCTTACGCACATGTTGGACATGGAGAGCACCTGCAGTGCTGCTGCTGAGAAGGATAAAATTATGAAATCCTGCAGCATTATCACTTGTACTGCTTCGTTTTCACACAGAACAAGACCCCCCACACGCACACCCTGAAGCGCAGAATACGGAATGCTGAATATCAGCAGGGGGACAGATTGAGACGGAATGTCATGCGTCTGTGTGCTGTCACTGTGACCCGAATGATCATGCACCCTGGCAACTTATGGGCCATTCCCATCATCATCTTCACTTTGTTTATACTCATGATTTAATTTTCTACGTTTATCACTGCTATTGTTTTTCGGATGTTTTAATTGGTTAGAGGTATTTGCCCTGATCTTTATCATGTTGTACAGCACTTTGTGATTTATATCTCTGAAAGGCGCTATATAAATAAACTTTTACTTACTTACGGGGTCGGCCCGGGTAGCGTAGGTTGTTTACATATCTGGGTGGCCTGGTATTTTTCCGGGCCAACCAAGGCTCATTCTCAGCCCTCTTCTCGAGGGGGTCTGCTTCAGGCCGACCAGCGCCAACACACCCAATGCTGACAGCAAATTTACACCTTCCATTAGAGCAAGCCTCTGATTGGTGGGAAGAATCAGCCCACATGGGCTTAAGACAAGGATGTGTGGAATCAACCGGGCCAGGCTGGGGCCGACTGGGGCTACCCGGCCCGGGCCGACCCGGTACAGCTGGGAATGGCCCATTAGACATGAGAGATCTCTGGGTGATTGGTTAGCACGCGTGACTTTCACCTGGGAGTCTGGGGATCAAATCCCGAATGGACCTTTCCATATCCGCCACAGATCTCTGAAGAATTCACAACATTGGCGGCTTCAGCAACGCTGTGCCACCCCGTGGATTTTCTCTGTTTTGCAAAAGCACTTCCTTTCATTTCTCCACCTCACCCACAAGTACCTCAATTTCTGCTTCTGTGAAATTGTGCTTCCTTGATCTGCCTTGATCTACGATCGCCATCGTCATTGGCGGAGAGCTGCAACAGTCGGCTTTTGTATATGCACGAGGTCCACAAGGCACTTTGCATTGACTATTTATGGCAATAAGTGGGCGTGGTGAGGGCGGGATGTGACTAAAAAGCAGCTGAGAACCTTTCTAGATACTTTCTGATTCATGAAGCGGAGATTGCGTGCAGCTGTGCGTACTCCATGTTTGACAGATCACAAACCTACTTGGCACAAGTACATTTTTTTTTTTTGCTGAGCTTAATTACGGTTTTAGTACGGATTCTACGCAATGTTTGACAAATGAGACCCCTGGACATTAATAAAATACACAGAAAGGGTGTTACATTTTTAAAATAAATTATTTAACCATTTCAATGCAAATGTAAAACTATAGAGTACAAATTTTCATCAGCAATAAGGGTGGCGAGGACATTTATTTTGAGATCCTTCACAGTGATAGACATTGTTGACTCCAGATGTCACTAAGGCCTAGTCCACACATAGCCGGGTTTTTTGAAAACGAATATCCGCCCCTCCAAAAACTTGCATCCACACCACCTCGTTTTAAAACAAAACTCTGTCCACACGTACCCGGATAAATACGTTGTTAAGGACATGCCAGACCTGTAGGCGGCAGTACTTCCCCCGTTCTTAACCTCGTCCTTCGTCTGTGGTCTTCCGCAGGGAGCAGTAATTCCGCTTGCAAAAACAAACAAGCAAAAAGCGCTTGGACAATTGATAAAGCGAGCGCAGCTCTGAGGGCATCCATGCTGTCGGCTAGTGTAAACACAGGTCGCACACGTGATGTCAGCATTTTTTTGTCACGGAAAGCGACGTTGCGGACCTTAAAACTCCGGTTTTGTCTGTCCACACGCAGACACCCAAAACGGAGAAAACGCAGATCTTCACTTTGGCCGGAGTTTTTAAAAAGATCAGTTTTCGTGTGAAAAAACTTCGTTTTCGTGTGGATGACAGGCCAAAACGTAGAAAAATATCTACGTTTTGGCAGATCCCCAGCTACGTGTGGACAGGGCCTAAAATGCACCCTGGGTTGTTAATGTGGATCACATAAGAGACGTGCCTGAGATATATAGCACTATAAAGTAAAAGTGAAAATTTCATAACAGAGATGGTTGAGTGAGACTAGTGTTGGAAAGGAGTATGCCACCAGAGACCCTTTATAAAGAATGTTTCAGATGTTTCCTTGCTCCAGCATTTCTGAATTTATGGTTGAAGCACCTGTTAAGCACATCGTAAAGCCTGCTAATCACCACTGATTCAAATCAGGAGTGTTGGAGCAGAGGAACGACTGAAACATGCTGGGTAGGGGAGTCCTGATATAAACCGTGCCTTCCTGGTGATACAATATACAACATAGCACATGCTATTTAATAAGTGATGTTTAAACATCACATAATTTTGACATATAGCGTTACCAAATTATTTGTTTTGCCACATGCCAACTTCAGAAGTGTAAGAAGTTTAAAATCAAAATACTATTTATATTTACGAACAAACGTCTTCAAGATCCTTTTTTCCATTAAGATACTTTACTTCAAGCATTGCCACCTAAATATAACCTATTTTAAAAGGATTTAAAGAACCCTCCATTAAATTACGTAACGAAAGCACGTGCCACAGCGCGCTGGACAACCACTTTAAAGGGGAGACGTTCATCAAATTAAACCTACTTAAAGTCGGTAAACGACGGACACATTTTAAACACATCGAGTAGAAAATAAGACGAGCAGCCATGTTAAAGCCTATTATTAGCGCATTTTAACTAGACCACACCGAACCCAACCCGTATTGATGGCCTTTGGAACGCTAACAGTTAGCACGCTAATAGCAGCGCGCTAAGACGGCGACACACCTAAACGATAACGATAGCAAGTTAAATGTTAAAAAGAATGTTTGCTGCAATTAAAAACACGTTAAAGGCACTTAAAAGTTCGCACTTTCTCTGCCCAACATCACCTTCGGGTTAGAGGAGCTAATGGGCCCAAACTGTTAGCCTAAGCTAACGAGAAGCAGCGTGTTACTAAAAGGATACACGTTGAGTCTTTGACCCATATCCTGGATCAGGTTCGCCGCTTGTTGCCGGTAGGAGAGTTCTCGGTCTGGCTCTACTCCAGAGCGGCGGGACGGCGTGTTTTCCAGTTGTTCCCGAGTGAAATACCATTTCGACGAAGAGCCCCGGCATGCCGCCATTACTCCGTAATGATCACTTCAGCGTCAAGAAAGCGGAAGTGACGTGTAATCTGGCCGAGAAACAACGTACGGGTTAGATTCTTACTGCCACCTACTGTCCAATACCACTCACTGCAGCTCTCATTAAATTGTGTGGTTACGCAGAAACATGCTGTACACATTTTATCAGCATATTTTAGCAAATAGGCTAGATGTACTATGTATAATGTCGTCTAAATACAAATCTTACAGTTTAAAAAATGTACCTTGCCACCCGAGGGAGTTATTAATTCATAAAAGCATTTAGGCTGGATGCATTTCATTATA